TCTTATTATTGTTATTCCCCCCCCCCCCTCAGAGAAGTACATTTTAAAACTGCCTTTCCTTTTCAGAAGATAAAATTACACTTAAAATGGTTTCAAGAATCAAAATCAAAATATAGGAACATATATGTCCAGAATTTCTGTATAATTTAATAATTTGAAATAATTTCAGTGTTGGTTTTTCATCCCAAAGCACTGAGCTGCTGAGCTTGTTGATCGAAAGGTCGCAGGTTTGATTCCGGGGAGCGGTGTGAGCTTCCGCTGTCAGCCCTAGCTTCTGCCAACCTAGCAGTTCGAAAACATGCAAATGTGAGTAGATTAATAGGTACCGCTCCGGCGGGAAGGTAACGGCGCTCCATGCAGTCATGCCGGCCACATGACCTTGGAGGTGTCTACGGACAACGCTGGCTCTTCGGCTTAGAAATGGAGATGAGCACCACACCTCAGAGTCAGACATGACTGGACTTAATGTCAGGGACTACCTTTACCTTTATAACAAAGTCCATAAAATGACTGCATAGGATGACAATGGAGTCTTCTTAAAATGTGACTTTCAGCTTAGAGCAGGCATGGGCAAACTTGGGCCCTCCAAACTTGGGCCCTCCCTTACTGTTTAAACCGTTTCAACTGATAAGCAGTGTACTTGTATGCTGAAAACATGAGGTTTGTACGTAAACGAACTATGTTACTTTTTAACAAAGGGTACTTATTTTGTCTCTTGAGAGCATCATTTCTTATGGGGGAGTAGATGTTTTTGGGCAACTGAAATAACACTTGACAATCTGCTATTTTGTGTATTGGCATAATATTTGTTCTTAACAGTTCAAAGGGATAACCAGGTATATCAGTCTAACAGCTGAGAAACCTAATTTGCCTTGCATGAATAATAGTGTATATTTACCACCAAAGAGAAGATTCACTCAAATGAGTTTTTAGCGCTTTTCAGGAAGATTATACTTTACAAAAAGGTTGTGATTTTAAAAATGGTAGTGAATGTCAATTAATCTCCAAAAGGTCATACTTCCAAAAGGCTTTGGAGATTCTGGTTTTCCAAAAGGTTATGATCTCAAAGGTCATCCGGGGCAAAAAATGTTATGGTTCTGCTGGAAGTTGTTAGTTCAATAGGGTTAGTCCAATGTGTGGTTTGGCATACCCACACAGAGTCCAGGAACATATCCGCCACACACACACGGATTAAGATTTATGAGGTACATCCATGGAGGACTGTAAGTACAATTTGACTTTCTCACACACCTGCTGCATCTGTGGCAAGCATCCTCAGAGGTATGATCTGAGGATGCTTGCCATAGATGCAGGCAAAACGTCAGGAGAGAATGCCTCTAGAACATTGCCATATAGCCCGAAAAAAACCTACTACAACCCAGTGATTCCGGCCAGGAAAGCCTTCGACTATACCTACTTCTTCCATTGAACCTTCCCATCTCAGTGATCTTAATTCCAACCTTGCATTGCATTCTCTTCTCCTGTTGTTTCTCCATATATTTGTGATTAATGTGAAATATTATTTCATGTGAATTTTGTCCTGCTTCTAATCTTTATATAGACATAGTACACATTTCTCCTTATGAACCATCTAGGAATCTAAGATCGTTTGGGGAGGACCTGCTCTTGATCCCGCCTTCCTCGTAAGCGTGTCTGGTGGGGATGAGAGACAGGGCCTTCTCAGTGGTGACCCCTTGGCTGTGGAACTCCCTCCCCAGGGATATTAGATGGGCCCCTCCCTCCTGACCTTCAGAAAGAGAGTAAAAACTTGGCTCTTTGAACAAGCGTTTGGAAATGCAGCAGAATAAATAATTATGAAATATGAAGAACGAACACGGAATGACTAGACGATGTTGTTCGATATTGTTTTTAACAGGACGACACTGCTGATATGTTTTACTGGTTTATATGGTTCTTGTAATATTGGGTTGAATGTTTTTAACTGTACTTTATGAATGTATGGCATTGAATTTTGCCAATTTCTGTAAGCTGACTTGAGTCGCCGTAAGGGTGAGAAAGGCGGGCAACAAATACCATAAATAAATAAACAGATTTTTGAGATGTTTCCAAAGAAGAAACACAAGCCTCTCTCTGTTTTGCTTGCTAAGGATATCATTGTAAAAAAGAGGATGGTGGATTATCATATTACAGAGAGTCTGTTGCATATCATGACCTTATCATCACCAGAAGACATTTGTTAAGTGATTTCAACTCTGCTAAAATTGCAGGTTTCGGGAACCCGGAGTGCCTAGCTAATCCCAAAGGCCAAATCAGGACACAGCTTAGAAGACAAAAGCAAAAAATCGTTTGCATGGCTGACTGAGATAGTAAAACCATTGCTCTCTTATGGTTGAATGTACACACACTTTGTTTCATGCACAACATTCTTAAAATACTGTCGATATAATTACGTTCAGGCTATGTGTATAATTTTTATATGAAGCATCAATGAATTTTGTGCTTGGATTTGTGTCCCCCTCCAAGATATCCCATGCAGGTATTTCAAACTCTGAAAAAATCTGAAATGTGGGACACTTCTGATTCCAAGCTTTTGGATAAGGGATACTCATCCTGCAATGAGGAAGAACAGACAAGCTAGGAGACGTTGCAGCCATGTTATTTATTCTTCTTCTCCTACTATGCTGACTGCAAATTACTTTTTTATTTATTTGAAGTTTGCAGAAATGGAAGAACACTGCGTACAAGGGAGGGGAATAAGGGATGAAAAGATAAACTGTTGCATTTTAAAAACAGCTGGAAATGCAGAATACCAAGGGATTAACTGGGGATGTGCCTACCAAACTGAGCCAACTGGAGGGCATGGACAAAATGCCAAAAAGTAAAAACCAAGCAAAAACAAAGGTGGCTAGAAGTCCAGTTCTGGTCCATAAAAAGACATGTGAATTTCAGTTCTTTGAATTCAGAGTGTTCTGTCAAGTAAGGAACTGGAAACCTTTAGGACTTTATCACACAAAGGTTGCAAACTAGCATTGTGGTTGAGTAGTCCATATCACATAATGACATTCATTTATTTATTTACAGTATTTATATTCCACCCTTCTCACCCCGTAGGGGACTCAGGGTGGATTACAATGCACATATACATGGCAGACATTCAGTGCCAATTAGACATACAACATATGTTGTAGACAGACACAGAGGAAATTTAACATTCCAGCTTTTCTGACTTTATGAGGGTATGCTTGATTACAGCTACCACTTCACTGTCCATTTGTGACACCGAGTCCTTTGATGGAGTACTTCCTCATTCTTCTGCATGCTGCTGGAAGGTTTTATGGTGTTGTAAATTAGTTAAATTAGCCTCCTCGCATAAAGCGGTACCTAAATTTCCTACTTGACAGATGCAACAGTCTTTTGAGCTTCATAGGTCGACAACAAGCTAGACTTATGGCCGGAAGCTCACTGACCTGGGCTGGTTTCGAACTCATGACCTCTCGGTCAGTAGTGATTTAATGCATCTGGCTATCAGCTAGCTGTGCCATAGCCCGATCCATATATGAAGTTTGTTTTGAAAAGGCACCAAATACATCTGAACAAATTTTACAAGAATAAAAAAAATGTGCAGATATGTATTCTTTTGCTAGAAAATGCAACTTTCCAAGCCCTTTACTGGTGATTTGATACATTTTGATAGTTTTGATCAGTACATAATATTCTACTCCAAAAAATTGCTACCACCTAGAACTCATTTTTCATTTTTTTTTCTTGGATTTCGTACCTTTTGGAAGCAAACTCCACATATGCATGCTGCTGGCCATCTGCCTTTCCCCATGATTCTCCCAACTCTCACTATTAATGGATGAAATCATCAATAGCTCCCCAATCCTGCAATGTCCCATCCGTTACCTTAGTGCAATGGGTCCCTTTCTATTCTGTGCCAGTTGGGTGTTCTCCTTTTATTTTATACTTGTTTTTGTGTCTTTTAAAATTCTGAAATTGCACAACTGTGCTAATAATAATAATAATAATAATAATAATAATAGGTAAAGGTTTTCTCCTGACATTAACTCCACTTGTGTCTGACTCTGGGGGTTGGCGCTCATCTCCATTCTAAGCTGAAGAGCCGGAATTGTCTGTAGACACCTCCAAGATCGTGTGGCCAGCATGACTGCATGGAGTACCATTACCTTCCCGCTGGAGCGGTACCTATTGATCTACTCACATTTGCATGTTTTTGAACTGCTAAGTTGGTGAAAATAATAATAGCAACAACAACAACAAGGAATAATAATAGGAAACAGCATATTGTGGGAAGGCAGGGTGTGCAGAAGTATGATTGCAGGATCACAATTGGAGAATTGGCATAATTGCACTAATTTTTTTTTTCGTGTCAGGAGCAACTTGAGACACTGCAAGTTGCTTCTGGTGTGAGAGAATTGGCCATCTGCAAGGACATTACTCAGGGGAAGCCCAGATGTTTTGATGTTTTATCATCCTTTTCTCATGTCCCTGCATGGGGAGCTGGAGCTGACAGAGGGAGCTCATCCGCACTCTCCCCGGATTCGAATCTACAACCTGTCAGTCTTCAGTCCTGCCGGCACAAGGGTTTAACCCACTGTGCCACCGGGGGCTCCTAATTGCAGTAATGAAGAAAGATGTGATATTGAGGGTACTCAGTGCAGTATGTAACCACTATTGAATCATAATGCAATTGTAGTGGAATATCAGATTCGTGGGATCATGTTGTTAACCTGAATTTACATTTAAATCATAGTGAGCAAAGCTGAAACAAGGACAATTGGAACATGACATTTGGTATGACAGCTGAAAGTATTTATTGATGCACAGCTTCAGTACATTCAGGAACAGTTAAGAAGTTATCATTATTCCTTAAGGACTACAGAAACATAAAGGACAATGTAATATGTGAGATAACGTGTGAAAGGCAACAACCGATGAAGCCCCCATAGTCCAAAGGCACCTCAAATTTCTAAGTGGTCTAAGTACACATCATTTCACCATAAAACTACAAAATCTGAACTTGAAAATTTTACTTTTCAGACTACTACTTTCAGAATTTCCAAAAGTTGGCGGGTTCTCTGAACTGTGGTCCAAAAAAATCAATTTTTTCAAGCTCTGATATAATAATATCACAGTGGCGGTAGTTATTTTATTTGTCCAGGCTTCTAATTTCTGCCCAATAGCCAGTAGTTGGTAATTGAGGGGAGGAAGCGGTCATTCTAACATCAGCAACAGGTTTCTATGGAAGCATATGGTTGGATCTTGGCCCCTCGAGGTACTGTTATTCCTCTATAGAGATCTTCTTTAAAGTTCCCCTTTCACTTGTGCTTTCATTCTTGCATGGTCTTTCCCAGAAGCAATATTTATCTCCTTTGCTGCCCTCAGCCCGGACTTTATTACGGTGTCCAGCCAGCCATGCAAATGGGAGGTATGCTCTCCGGCAAAATGGATTCTACCTTCTGGCATCTTGACAGGCTCACTATAATCTATGAACTGGTAAGGGACGAAGGAAGTGATCGCACACATCGAATATGTATCCAGGCTCCATCGTTTTATTACCCAAGAGTAACAGAGAGTCCGGAGCTCTTTTTTGGGCCGTTGGTGGATGGCTGACAGGTCATCCAGGATGATGTCAAGAATGTCCTCATTGCTGAGGGACAGGAAAAACATAGAGTCGTCGCTTTGGACGTAGGAAGCCAAGACAACCCCGGAACCACCAGAGAAGTTTTGGGCAAGGTAGTAGATGAATCGAGATGGGCGGTCAGTGATGGACATCCCACCCCGAATGCCGTCATCTTCCCAGAACCGCTTTGAACAAGTAAGGTAGACCTTGGTCAAACTCCTATGGTGGATAGACCGCAAAGCATCCGTTTTGTTAAGGGAGAGGGGTGGGTCAAAGGAGATGCGGCGGGTGGCCCTGGCCGTGGAGGTGACAACGACATAATCGGCTGTCATGCTCGACAATGTTTTAGCCAGCGTTTGATAAACCACAGTGACAGTCTGGCCCTTCTGTTCTATCCTGACTACTCTGGCATTGAAGTGAACTGATTCCGGAAAGGCTCTGTAAATGGCTATAGGCAGCTGATCGAAGCCTCCCTCGATTTTATTGAATCTGCAAGACAACAAAGAAGCTCAAATGAATGGTGGAAATATGAGATGAATACAGATCCTTTCTGCTGCGAAATGAAAATCACACGTAGTACATGTTTTTACCAATCCACACACTGTCTTGCTAGATAAAAGATATGCTGCACAGATGATCAGTAAAGAATAAGGTGTTTACTCTTTGCTATGCAGAAGAACATATGGGAACAGTTGTATTGACTCACACAATGTCCTTTGACAGAGATTCAAATGGTCCTTGTGTGTCCAGATGAAGGATCTTCTTCCAGTTACCAAGAAGTTGTACAAAACTGTCTTGGCAAGCTCCTGAACAGAAAACTTAAACATGTAACTGTTGCCAAAACTCCCAGGCTCAGCATAGCTCAACCAATCAACTTTGTGCTTTGCATTTTTCTGTTAACACACTCACCAACTGATTTTTATATGCTCCAACACTCTCCACATCTTGTTTTTAAATTTTTGAAAGAGTTCAAAAGTAACCAATTAACAGGTTATTGCAGGCCTGGGCAAACTTAAGTCCTCCAGGTGTTTTGGAAACCAACTCCCACAATTCCTAACAGCCTACTGGCCAATAGTAATTGTGGGAGTTGAAGCCCAAAACACCCGGAGGACCGAAGTTTGCCCATGCCTGGGTTATTGTATATACACATACATAAGTCTAGCCATTTTCATGAATTGACATCTATAGGTCACTGTATATATTGGAATCTAACTCTTATGTAGGATTAAAATGGCAAATGATGAGAACTTATCAGTCCTGGGAGAACTTATACAAATCCATGGGCTCCTTCTCCTCTCCAACATGGTGCAATCTCTGACCTTTTCAAAGGAAAAGGGTGGGGAAAATGGTGGTCGTAGCTGACTCTTGAGACATAATTGATGTGTTTTCCTTTCCATGGAATGACCCTCAAATTATCCACAGGTCATATCAAAATCCATAATTTTGGCCCCAAAATCTGCCCTTGTTTTATACATGAGGCTGACTTGTACACAAGTATATAAGGCAATAGTGATCAATTCTTTAGGTACAACTGATCTAATCCAGATCGCAATAACTTCACCCCTTTTGCAATTTAATTGTGATTTTTAGTTAACTGGTGTTTAATACACTCTTTATACACATTGCTTGAAAATCATTTTATATGCAACACAGATATATAAACCCCACTTGCCTTCCAAAAAACCTCACAACCTCTGAGGATGCTTGCCACAGATGTGGGTGAAACATCAGGAGAAAATGCTTCCGGAACATGGACATACGGCCCAGAAAATTCACAGAAACCCAATACTTTTGTACATGAAACCAAGACTGTGTACATCAGAAAGCAAAGGTATCTCAGTTACTCATGTGAACTATTTTGGGTTTTGTAGTATTTTGGGCATCCAGAGAAAGATATTCAACCTGTATTAGCATCCCATCTTTTCCTCTCAAACTGATGTGTCTAATACACATCAGCACATCTTAGCTGGTATCCTGATGCACAATGGGGACCACGGCACAACAGGACTGATGCACACTGGTCTCAATGCGCATTGGTTCCATTGAGCATTGGTCCTAGAATCATAAAATCATACAACTGAAAAGACCTTAAGGGCCATTGTGCCCAACCAAATTCCTGCTATGCAGAAATACACAATCCAAGCACTCCCAACAGATTGCTATCCAGCCTCTGATTAAAAAAAAAACAAAAAACAGAGCAGACCCAGCTTAGCTTTGAAGATCAAATGGGACCTGGTGCTTTAAAAATCCTAAACTTGAAGCTGCCCCAAATACCATCTAGTCATCAGAAGAGAAGCTGTGATACCAACAAGGAGCATTCTTCCGCGTTTATGCAATGTTTCCTTACCTGTCTGAAAAAACAAAGTTATTAGAGTTTCTCAGGCTCTCAATGAAAGACAGATAGTAGCCTGAATCTTCATTTAATATGTCCCCAATCATCTGGACAGCTCCACGACTCAAATTTGCCACCTGTATTAAGTATTGCTGTGGAAGGGAAAAGAATTCCAGGGTCCATGAGCAAATTGCAGCGCAAAATCCGAATGAATTATTTCAGAATTAGAGCAACAACAACAACAACAACAACAACAATAATATAATCTTATTTATAGGCCACCCACTCCCCCCAAGGGGACTCAGGGCAGTTTACACACAGAAAAGGCAAACATTCAATGCCCTACGCAAATACGCAGATCTAAAAAATTAGTACAAAATAATACAATAGCCATGAACATGTAACAAAAGTAAAATTAACATCAAAATAAAACCCAGAATACAAATAATCAAACATAATTATATTAATAACATCGTTGACAATTAAGACATAAACCCTGAGAGAGCCATTAAAATTCATACAAATTGCTGTCATGATTGTTCTTTCTCATGTAGCATAGCAGCAGTAGAATATAAATAAATTAGCCAACATTCTGATGGAATTAAAGTGTCCTAGTCCTCCTCCTCTCCGTACACTAAAGGAGTTTATTTTGAAGGAGAGAAGGTTGGGGGTGTTTTTATTTCTTTAGGAAGGGAGTTCAAGAGACGAGGAGTGATCACGGAGAAGCACCCCCCACCCTCGTTCCTACCAACCATGCTTGGGGCCAGGTCGGACCAAGAGCAGGGCCTCCTCCGTTGACAGCAGTGCATGAGATGGACTGCATAGGGAGATGCAATTGGACAAGTAGCCTGGACCCAAACAATTTAGGGCTTTATAGGTAACAACCAGCACTTTGTATTTAGCCTGGAAGCAAACCGACAACCAGTGGAACTGCCGCAGCATGGGAGTCATCCTCTCAGGATATGATGCTCCAGTTAGCAATCTGACCACTGATCTTTGCACCATTCACAGTTTCCGAACTATCTTCAAAGGCAGCCCCACGTAGAGAGCACTGCAGTAGTCCAAATGGGATGTGACTAATGCATGGACTACCATGGCCAAGTCAGGTGTCTCAAGGTATGGGTGCAGCTGGGCTGTGTGAATGTGCTCCTGGCCACCACCGATGCCTGGAGTTCCAGGGTCAATGATGAATCCAGGATCACCCCCATACTGCGGACCTGTGTCTTCAGGGGTGTGTGACCCTATCCAACACATGCTGTAATCCCACACCCTGATCCGCCTTACGACTGAGCAGGAGTACCTCTGTTTAAATAGTCTAAAAGCACCACCCCATACACACCAAGAAGAATTTAAATCCATGCACAAGGGGTTATCGGTTCTAGTCCTTCCCTTCAAAGGGCACAACAGGCAGCCAAGTCTTTTGTATGAAATATATGGGGTCCCATTTGGTTATTTTCCAGAGATAAATGCTCCCAGTCCAAGGAGGAGACTCTGGATGTATCTACACTGCAGAATTAATGCAGTTTGACACGATTTAACGACCATGGCTCATGGTATGGAATCCTCTGCGTTGTAGTTTGGCAGAAAAACCTTAAGACCTGGTAAAACTACAACTCCAATGCTTCCATAGTATTGAGCCAGTCAAAGTCATAAATGTACCCTAAGAAATCTAGAAGTCTTTCTGCTCAGGAAAGATTCTCTTCAGAAATAGAAGGATTATGAATGTTCTAATCAAAGACAAAAAGGGTGCATCTACACTGTAAAACCAAAAGAGTGCTTGCTTCTCAACAGAGTACACCTCCAACGATTCCATAGCAATTAGCCATGATAGTTGAAGTGGTGTCAAACTCCATTAATTCTGCAGTGTAGATGCATACCCAGTAAAACTCTCAAACCACTGGTTCCATATTAGCTAATGATAAGAACAATAGGTCAATACCAAATGTAAATGTTAAAATAATTCACAGACTGGAAGCATTTGGAAACGTTTCCATTACCTTGGTTGAAAAAGTGTCATATTTGTGCAGTATGTAGGTACAGTTTGTCTGTCTCACTTCTTCAGCAACCTAGGATGACAAACGGAGAAGAGGTCAGGAAAATGACAGTAACAAAATGTAAACTGGGCTGGTGGGGAAGAAAGGAAAAAATAAGTATTTAGATAAAACACATCATGATAAATAATGCAAAAAATGCAAATAAAAGATAATAACAGAACTGTTATGTGATTTCAGCTCTGCAGTAACATGGCATCGAGTTCCTGGGGTGCCTGAGCTACAAAATAAGCCATGGCTCGGTGAAGGTAAGGACCAGAGGTTTTATTCACTTCGTCAAAAAGTCGATGATGGATGGAAAGTCTGCGCACTCAAATCAGACTTAAAGGCAATGGCCAGGGATCAGGTCATTGTTGTTGGATGGGACAAACGTCACTATGAATGTTAGCCAGATTTTGCTTCGTGGGGAAGGTTGTCCTAAGATGTTAACCTTCAGGAACCTTCATGACACCTTCCTTGGCTGAAGATTTGGGGTCTTTTGGGGTCTCGACAACAGAATTAATATTGATTACTATATTCTAAGACTCAAACCAAAACTTTAGAGAAGTGGTTTCCAACCTTTTTTTGACCAGAGACCACTTGACCAGGGACCACTTGACCAGGGACTACTTGACCAGGGGTCACTTTGACCAGGGGACCACTCTCCAACATTGATACCAAAAGGGTTACAAATCAGTTTTTGGTCCACTTTAGATTTGGTTTGGTTATTTGGGGTGCTGGTTCAGAAAATTGCATTGGATAGACCACATCACCTCTAGTTTCTGCTACAGAACTTATGCCATCCAGTAATTTCCAACTGTTCACCCATATTAACCATATTTAATAACCTAGACCTGATGTGGTAGTAGTAATCTTTTGTTTGTAGTCAGTCTCTCCCCTCCCAACATCCCCTCAGCGTTATAAGAGGGTTTCGTGAAACCAGTCGTTCTTGTTGCCATGTCGTTTTGAGGCAACGGTGTAGTAACGGTGATGGTACAGACCATATTTTCATTTTTTCAGACCACTGGTGGTCCATAGACCACAGATTGGGAACCACTGCTTAAATTATGTATGAAGGAGGAGAATTCATATATCAAGCAGTAACTCAGGATTGTCCAACCCAGTAAGAAACAGCAACTCCACCAGTTTGACTATAGGGTCTAAAAATACGCTGTGTTAATTAGTGGAACCAAAATGGAGAAAACAACTATGTTGAGGGACCCAGCTAATTGGTCAGCTACTATTGATACCTCACAAACACTGCATTGATATCATCATCATCATAATCACCACCATCACCACTTACATCATCACCACCATCACTACCATCTAGAATTCTCTATCATAGTGTACAATTGAATATTTAGCTACATATTTATATCTGAATATTTAGTTTTTGTGAATATTTAGCTACATAGCAGAGGCACTAAGGTGCATAATGGGATGCTGGCAAATGTATCCCAATGTGCATCAACACTTCCTAGATGGTGTCCTGATGCATAATGGGGTGGTTGGTATGAACAACAGGACTTATGCAGATTGTCTCAATGTGCACTGGTCCTATTGAGCATTCATCCCAGAAGCATAAAATCATAGAGCTAGAAAGAATCTAAGGTTCCATGAGTCCAATGAGACTTCTGCTATGCAGAAAGACACAATCCAAGCAGTGCCAACAGTTGGCCATCCAGTCTCTGTTTAAAAACCTCCAAAGGAGGAGATGTCACCAACTTCGAGGCTCCATATTTCATTGTTGAACAGCTCTTAGGGTCAGGAGGTTCTTCCTAATGTTTAGGTGGAATCTCTTTCCTTGTAATTTGAATGTGTTGCTCTGCATCCCAGTCTCTGAAGCAGCAGAAAACGCTCTTACTCTCCCCTCAGTATGACATCCTTACAAATGTTTAAACATGGTCATCATGTCCTCAATCTCCTCTTCTCCAGATTAAACATAATTTTAATTCCTAAGCTGTTCCTCACATGACTTCACTTCCACACCTTTTAGAATTTGGTTGCCCTTCTCTAGAAACATTCCTGTAGTAGTGTTTTGTTTTTGTTTTTTTAACCTGAAAAAATTGGGGTTGGTTTGAACCCCTAAACTGCCCCCTTGGCTATGGGCTTGCCTATCTGGGAAATACCTGGTAATTTTTTTAGTTTATTATAATAAACAATCAGGAAGCTGTATTATTAGCTGAGTGGAGCATGGACAAGTTTCCTACTATGGATTAAAGTGCCCCTAATCCCAGCAGTCATCATGTTTGAAGTCTCTAAAAAGATGACTTTCCAGCTTTTGTTCTGCTGATTAAGCCTTCTTATCGGCAGAATCCAACTTGAGGAAACTTGTACCCAACTTCTATCAGCATACCATCCTGAGCACACCTGATTTGATCTAGTTTGCAACTTAAATAGGACTTAAGTAGGATTTGGATGAGAATTCACCAAAGAAAGCTTGGAAATAATTCTTCCAGGATTTCTGAAGGATTTCAGCAAATCAGATCTTGACAGTAGTGTCTTAGGTAGATCTTATTCTATTCAATATAAGGCAGTTTTCCCATGTTTTATGAGGAAACAGTGTAATGCTACAGGCTTTCACTTTGGCATCCTCAAACAGTTGAGGATGCGATCATTGTGGATTTGGACCTTATTAGAGGGTCATACCTCTAACAAGGATAACTTGGGATGTTGTGTGGAATCCTGTATGACCGTTTTCTAGCAGCACTTTCTCCTGACATTTCACCTGCATCTGTGTGATGGTAGTCATACAAGTGGCATATATATACCTGGTGGAATGTTGAGAGTGGGAGGAAAGAACCATTGTTAAACGAGTGTAAAGGTTGCAATTAGGAAGCTAGATTTTTATGTGTTGAATGGGATCCCTAAATGGATCTGGCCCAGCTTACCTGTCCGAACATATCTCTCCCTATGAACCACCTAGGTCTCTAAGATCATCTGGGGAGGATCTGCTCTCAGTCCTGCCTCCTTCGCAGATGCGATTGGCGGGAAAGAGAGACAGGGCCTTCTCAGCGGTAGCCCCTTGGCTATGGAACACCCTCGCTCTGAACATTTCGAAAAAGAGTTAAAACCTGGCTCTTTGAGCAATCATTTGCAAATGCAGTGTAACAGACTAATCTAGATCTACGGAATGATTGGATGATGCAACGGGAAAATGATTTTAGTAATGAGAATGGTGTTTTATGGCTTTTATTGTTTCTACTGCTTTTACATGGTCTATATTATATGTTAATGGTTTTAATTATATTTTATGTTGTTGGTGGCATTGATTGTCGATTGTAAACCGCCTCAAGTTGCCTTTGGGCTGAGAGAGGCAGTATATAAATATGGTAAATAAATAAATAAATAAATAAATAAATAAATAAATCCACCCATTAGCACATGAGTAGGGCGTTTGCATGGATGTAGCCTGACCTTTGTTTCCTTTGAATTGCTTGCTTCCTAACATCCTTTGTTTGGGTGGTGTTCACTGGCCCCTGATAGCCTGCTGCCTGAAGACCTCCTATGTCTGGGTGGTGTTCATTAGTCACTGTAATCATTGATAGTTGGATACATACTGTATTGAGCACCATTGATGTTGCACTTTTCTTCAGTAACAGAATAGTACTGATTTGCCAATCCATGATCCCACCATTGTACTTCTGCACATCCTTGTAATCCCACCTTCCCATACTACTGCTGTAATATTTTTGTTATTATTATTAGCACAATTACACAATTCCATAATTTAAAAAGGCAAATATAAGTATAGATCAAAGTGAAAAAAACCAGCTTGGGAACAGTGAGGCGAAGGAGGAAGAAGAAGAGAATCCCACATTGATGTCATTTTAATGCTGGCACAGAAGTGGAAGGGATTTATCAAACTAAGGCGGGCAACGGGAACCTTGCAAGATTGGGAACCATTGATGAGTTTTACACATTCGCAGCTCATGAGGGGAGAATTATGGAGGAGAGGGAAGGGCAGACTGGCACTGGGGTGCACATGGCATCACATTATCTTGTAGTAACAATAATGGAGGACCTTCTCATAGCAACACCAGAGGCACTCCAAGTGGCCAGTTACTGGTCAAAGGACATTTAGTATAATGCCAAGATTTGTATCAGAAGCAAACTGTACCTTCAATTTGCTTCTGATACGAATCTTGTAATAATGACATGATGTTCCAGTGCAATACCTGTTTGCCTGCCTCATACGATAAAATCCTTAATCTGGTTAAGGAGTTTACTGATTCAGTATGGATAGCTTTCCAAAGCCTATTTGGCCAGGAAAATAACAGAATAAATGAATCATAGATTTGGAATAGACCACAATAACCATCCAACATTACTCTCTACCATAGCCAATACATGCCCAGCAAATTTAGTATTTGCACTGTATGAGTTCAGGTCTGGGAATGGACCTTGCAAACATGCATTCTTTTATTTCCGTATTTCATTACTGAGACTGGATTATCTTGTGTTGTGTTCATAATCTAGGCCAGGGGAGCCTTCAGTGACACAGTGGGTTAAAGTGCTGAGCTGTTGAGCTTGTTGACCGAAAGGTCGCAGGTTCGAATCCAGGGAACGGCATGAGTTTCTGCTATTAGCCCCAGCTCCTGCCAACCTAGCAGTTTGAAAACATGCAAATTTGAGTAGATCAATAGGTACTGCTCTGGCAGGAAGGTAACGGCGCTCCATGCAGTCATGCTGGCCACGTGACCTTGGAGGTGTCTATGGACAACGCTGGCTCTTCGGCTTAGAAATGGAGATGAGCACCACAACCCAGAGTCAGACATGACTAGATTACATGTCAGGGGAAAACCAACCAAATCTAGGCCAGGGCTTCTTGACATTTTCCACTCAGGACCTTTTTTGGCCCAAGAAATCTTTACACAACCTGGATATACAAGTAAATAAAATAAGTATAAAAATAAACATCTACTTATAAAAAACAGCATTTTCAAGGCTTTTTTTTTTAAAAGGCTTATTGTCCTTTTTTAGCATCTTTCACAGAATCCACTTTTTTCCTGTGTCGGGGCAACTTGAGAAACTGCAAGTTGCTTCTGGTATGAGTGAATTGGCCATCTGCAAAGATGTATCCCAGGGGATGCCCGGATGTTTTACCATCCTGTGGGAGGCTTCTCTCATGTCCCCACATGAGAAGCTGGATCTGACAGATGGGAGCACACCCCACTCCCTGGAGTCAAACCGCTGACCTATTGGTCAGCTGTCCTGCCGGCACAAGGATTTAATCCATTGCAGAATCCACTGCAAACCCTGCACAATTGTTTGTGTAAATATCAAAAACAGTCACTAGGTGGCATTCAGAAAACTTTTACTGTTGCCATTTTTTCAAGATCTGATTATTGAGCTTGAGTGGCCCCATTTGGAGTCAGGACCCACAGATTTAAAAGTAGCGATCTAGGCCAAAGACAGGGAAATCACAAGGACAGACTTCCTTCTTAATTTTACTGATGCAAACTCTCTCATCAAGATAGGTGTTTCCTGTGAGATTTACATGGATCAAACAAAATCTAACATCATTAACTGCAAGCACACCTAATTTCAGCCACTAATACAGTCTATGACAACATGTCAGGATTCCATGACCCAACCCTCACTCTGAGGCATCCTAGGAAATCAAAATTACAGTTGCATAACCAAATTTCTCAGTATATTATTTTGTTAACTTGAGGCATTCTAGTATTTTTAAGGATATGTACGTGAGGTGGCAACAGTGATTACACAATCATATCTGGGAACTTAAGGATTCTAGGTTAATGTCATTCCAAACCCTGCGATTTCACGGCCAACTAAGAGGATATCATGATTGCAGGTGATGATTTACAAAAATGTGGCCTGCTAAATCTCAGCCATAGCTACTCAGAGTAGAGACTTTATTACACTAGGCAGATAAACTGGTATTGAAGTTGAACTCTTATTTTTAATGATGGTCCCTATCACCCAACATTATACACATCAGTTCATTTAATCATTTACAAGAAAATATATGATATATGGAAGATATATATGATGGATCAAAAATCACAAAGACATCTGGTGTTTTAATAATTTTTAGAAAATGTTTTTTGACATGATTTTACATCAACTGTCTGAACATATCTGTTTACCTGTCCAAACAGATCTCCCTCTATGAACCTTCAAGGACTCTAAGATCATTGGGAGGGGCCCTGCTCTCGGTCCCACCACCCTCGCAAGCGCGACTGGTGGGGACAAGAGACAGGGCCTGCTCAGTCGTGGATCCTCGGCTGTGGAACTCCCTCCCAAATGATATCAAAACTGTCTCCTCCCTCCTGGTATTCCTAAAAAAACTCAAGACCTGGCTCTGGGGTCAAGCCTTTGAGCAATAGATACAGTGATTTGAACGCAATTTACCATTGCGACCGGCAAATTGACTGATCATGGATCATATTTTTAAACTGGTGATATTTTAGAATTTTAAATCTCTGAATGTATAAATTGTTTTCATAATTGTTTTAATTATATTTATTAATTCAACATCCGGCATCTAATGGTTGCCTGTTGTAAGCCACCCTGAGCGTCCACCCCGGGGGTGAGAAGGATGACATATAAATGCTTAAAATAAATAAAGTAATCTAATGTAATTTCCTAAAATATACTGTCTATGGTGTTAAGATGTTGTAAATGGAAAACAAAATATAAACTAGTTATTAAATATTGTAACCCAGCTTCTGCCCACCTAGTAGTTCGAAAGCATGCAAATGTGAGTAGATACTTTCAGTGGGAAAGTAACGGCGCTCCATGGAGTCATGCTGGCCACATGACCTAGGAGGCGCCTACGGACAATGCTGGCTCTTCGGCTTAGAAATGGAGATGAGCAACCCCCCCCCCCCCCCGAGTCAGATTCGCCAAACTTAATGTCAGGGGAAACCTTTACCTTTAACCTATGGTGACTTTTGACTCACCCTGTATATATTATAGAGAAATATCTGTTTTTTATATTAATGCAATATAATACTAATAACAATAATATGATATTATACTTACATATTTATGTTGCATGTAATATTACTAATAATATTACAATAAAATGGTATAGTACAATATAGCAATATTTAATACTGATATTGTACTATGCTAATAATATAATATATTGTATGTATATATACCTTGTAAGTCAACCTGAGTCCCCTTCAGAGTGAGAAGAGTGGCATATAAATGTCGCAAATAAATAAATAAATAAATAAATAAATTTTCATTCCTGAAACTGCAAAATTACACTCTAAAAAAATGGATTAGTGAAAGTGTGATAAGGTGGAGTTACGAGGATATGCGGAAGTATGAATGTGGGACCACAGACTGGTGTATTGTCATAAATTAAGAGAGGTGCAATATTAAAGTTGGATACCCGCTATTCATGACCGGGCAGTTGCCATGGATTTGCAGTTTTGTGTGATAAAGTCTTATGTTATTGAAATATTTTTTTTAAAAAAAATCAAAAAGTAGCAAAATACTTTAGATTCCTTCTCCCAGAAGAAGGGCCAAGCTCAGACTTGGGACTCTAATGGTCCGTCATTTTAGAGGCGAGTCTGCAGGGCACTAGAGAGTCTTGCCTTTTGTGGGTGCTTTGACTCAATCGGCATTTGCTTCTTTCCGTTAATACACTTTTATATTTGGAATAAAGCACAGAAGAATTCCTAACAAACTATCTGTAGAAGGCATACCAACCTTTTCGAGGGACTCAGTATACAGCTGTTTAGCTGTTTTGCCTTTTTCCGAGGGATACACATCATAGCCCAACAGGCTGGGATCCTCATCGACTTCCCGGATTCTTCTCCTGATGTTATTGAGCAAATACCAGCCGCTATCACCATCCTGTTGAATTTCTGTCATTCTCAGGCCAAACTTTTCAGAATATTCATGGACAATGCTGGGAGAAGAGAAAGGGAAATCATGAGAGTAATATTTTACAGGTTTATTCCTTTTTAAAAAAATCCTAAAATGAAGGAACTGCAATGGCCCTTACGTGCACCAAGTTCCTAATATGAATCCCCTATTAACGGAACAACATTTTGGAAAACTTCCAATTCCTGCATGCTTTTACCTCATTACAAAAGTTTTAAAACCATAGAAGAGAAGGTTAAGAGAAGACACGACAGCCATGTTTACATATGTGATAGGGTGTCATAAGGAAGAGGGAACAGGCTTGTTTTCTGCTGCCCTGAAGTCTAGGAGTCGGAGCAATAGGTTCAAATTACAGGAATGGAGATTCCACCTGAACATTAGGAAGAACCGCCTGATCGTAGAGCTGTTCAGCAGTGGAACTGTCTACATCAGGATGTAGTGGAAGCTCCTTCCCTTAATCAGAGGCTGGATGGCCATTTGTCAGGGTGCTTTGAATGTGCTTACTGGGATCTGCACGCATTATTCGCCAATATATCACACAGTCCTAGACACTTGAGAAGTGTCCAACGTGTGATCCAATACAACAGCCAGCAGAGTGTCTGCTGTGGACTCACCTTGTTGTGTTTCAAATAATAATAATAATAATAATAATAATAATAATAATAATAATAATAGGGCACTTAGTCAGCTTGAACACAAACTAGTTTTATATTTTAGCTTGCAACAAGTGAAGTAAACTGATGACAAAGTGGGAATAGTGGAAGGAGGAAAGAGAAACCGGGACATTTTAAAGGTAGCTCAAAAAGTGGGAGGGCAAAGGATTAATCAGGACTGTCTCTGCTAAATTGGGACAGTTGGGACGGATGGCAAGAATTCAAGTGTACAATCTCTTTGGCTTTTATTTTCCTGCTGGTGTGTGTAATTCAAGGTATGAGCAAGAGCACAAACTCTTGTCATTGGCACAACTGACAAACAGCAGTGCTAAGGAGCTTGACGATGTTGTGCGCCTACAGATAGATCAGATAAGAATTCCTTTGCTACCCATCTTACCTGTGTGACTCAGGCACACGCATGGCCCCAAGTTCTGCATACCAGCCTTCTTTCTCATCTCGATAGGTATCCACCCGTCCTCCTACTCGGTTGCTGGCTTCCAGAACTGTCACCTTAAGGGGAAATAGGATAATTCTGTTGCTTAACTCGCTGCCAAAATTTGCTGCACAGTATCTTTGCTGAACATCTTGACTTGATGACTAGGAAGAGGATATGTGTGGTTTTTTTTGGAAGCATTAATTGTTTTTATTTGGCCTCTTCTTGGTAGCATTCTTTGGCTGTGGACACATTTATACTAGAGCTTTCCAAACATTTCCTGTGGCTGACACACTTTTTAGGCATGCATCATTTTGCGACACAGAAATTCAGTTTTGCTAGCAAGGTAAAGGTAAAGGTAGTCCCCTGACATTAAGTCCAGTCATGTCTGACTCTGGGGTGTGGTGCTCATCTCCATTTCTAAGCCGAAGAGCCAGCGTTGTCCGTAGACACCTCCAAAGTCATGTGGCCGGCATGACTGCATGGAGCGCTGTTACCTTCCCGCCGGAGCGGTACCTATTGATCTACTCACATTTGCATGTTTTCGAACTGCTAGGTTGGCAGAAGCTAGGGCGGACAGCGGAAGCTCACGCCGCTCCCCGGAATCGAACCTACGACCTTTCGATCAACAAGCTCAGCTGCTCAGTGCTTTAACCCACTGCGCCACCGGGGCAAACTGGAAGTTAAACCAACCCCTTATAAGAGATACAGACACATTACATACATTGTAATTCTGAAACATATCTTTCGCGCGCGTGTGTGTGTATAATATAGATATATTTTATTTATAAATATATATGATTTATTGCTTATTTGACATAGACTCAATGAGGTTTCTTGTTACGTTCACATGACACACCTATACGCTGCAGCTGACACACTAATGTCACAACACATTGTTTGGGAAGCTCAGTGGGCACTTCTGTTGTCAATGGACTGGTGAATCCACCCTGGGAATGCATCTATACTTTCAAATTCATGCAGTGTGACATCACTATAATTGCCATGGTTGTCAACCAGCAGAATCTATGCTTTGTGAGGGAATTGACTCATTGGATTCACTGACACTTCAAGTACATCTATACTGTGGAGTTAATGCATTTTAAAACCACATTAATTGCCATGGGTGAACCCTATGGAATCCTGGGATGTATAGTTTGGTGGAACATAAGCACTCTTTGGTAGAGAAGACTAAAGACTTACATGATCCATAACATCGAGTCACAGCAGTTAAAATGATGGCAAATCACATTAATTTAACAGTGTAGATGCAACCTAGGCTTCACCCTATACGTCAGAGGGCTTATCAAACGTATGAGACTTACAAAGCATGGGGTGGATTCAGCATCTTGGCTAGTTCCTTCACGGTTCTTATCCATCTAACACTGTAACCATGAGCTCTCTTATGGTTACGATTTTCTGCAAGAAAGTGGCTGAAGAGAGCAGGAAGATGCATTGTCGAAGGCTTTCATGGCTGGAATCAACATTCCCCCAGGCAGTAAGAAGCCACACCTTGAAACTGCTAGGCCATTAAATGCTAATCAAGGTAGCCAAATTCACACCTACCTCCAAGAGACAAGAGTTCTTTGTCCCACCCTGGACTTTCCACAGATATATAAAATCCATTTTCCTAATTTCTAACAGATTTCACAACCTCTCAGGATGCCTGCCATTGATGCAGGCAAAACGTCAGGAGAGAATGCTTCTGGAACATGGCCATACAACCCAAAAAACTTACAACAACCCACAGCTAGAAGAGTGACTTACTTTGTGGCCAGCTTCTAGGAGAGTGTAGGCTGCACTGAGCCCTGCCATGCCTGCGCCCACAATCACCACATGCCTTGGGTGTGACGTCTTCTCCAGACCATTCCTTATTATCTCTAGGAATTCGTCATAGTCGTCCTCCTTGAAGCAGTCTTCCAGTGGATTAGACTCGCCAGCACAATTGTGCAGCGTAACAAAGAACAGCAGCAAGGACAGTACTGAACAAAACATAAGGAAAAATATAAATTAGTGCTGCATTTCCCTGTGTGCTCATTTGCTGTGGATTTCACTCATCCATGCTTACCCCAGTTTTTTTTTTTTTGGTGCATTTCTGTGATAATAAATCATCTATACGAGGGTTATTTGGAAAGTAAGGTTACAAGATTTCTTTTAAATACAAAGAATGAATATATTTTGATAAAACTGGATTGTAGCATAGGTATTACATTATTTTCCCACATCATCACCATTCAGTTCAACACATTTTGTCATCCGCAGGACGAGTTTTTGATGCCTGTGTCATAGAAGTTTCCTTCCACCTTTTCCAGCTAGTTCGTCACTGCGATTTTCACCTCATCGTCATCAGAAAAGTGTTTTCCACCCAGATGTTCCTTCAATTTAGTGAACAGATGATAATCACCGGATGCAAGATTGGGGCTGTGGGAGGGGTGGCTTAAAACACCCCAACCAAATGAAGTCAACTACTCTTGTGTTGCATGAGTGGTGTGCAGATGAGCAGTCATGAAGGAGACAGACTCAGTATTCCACCATGTTTATTTTGGATGGCTCTGTGAAGTTTCTTTATGGTTCACAATATATTCCATACCCATTTTGACATTATGTGCTCTCCATAAACTGAAAAGATTTCACGATTAATCACAGTGGTGTTCATGCCCTTAGCATTTAGGTACCGTATTACAAGGCAAACCTCGCAATTGGAGGAAAAATGGATTGAGGATGCTCATCACTAACCTTCACCACAACGCCAGTTGATGAGCTACTGACGACTGGCACTGCTCGTTCACTTCCGCTGACTTCCCGCTACATGACAGTGATACCAACTTTTCCCGCAAAAATTACCCGCAAGAGCTATATGCCTTGTAACCTTACTTTCCAGATAAACCTTGTATATTGGGCAAATTGTATTCTTGCTCAAAAACTATTGAAGGTAAAGGTATTCCCATGACATTAGGTCCAGTCGTGTTCGACTCTGGGATTGGTGCTCTTCTCCATTTCTAAGCCAAAGAGCTGGCATTGTCTGTAGACACCTCCAAGGTCATGTGGCCAGCATGACTGCATGGAGTGCTGTTACATTCCTGCCAGAGCAGTACCTATTGATCTACTCACATTTGAACTGCTAGGTTGGCAGAAGCTGGGGCTGACAGTGGAAGCTCACACTGCTCCTCAGGTTCAAACCTGTGACCTTTTGGTCAACAAGCTCAGCAGCTCAGCAGTTTAACCCACTGTGCTGCCGGGGGGTCCGTGCCATGTTACAAACATATAAAAATTACAGTAAAATGAACAAGAGTGGAAAATTTAGCCTAAATGAATTCTTATAAAAACATCTACTCAAATTTGCAAATGTTTTCATATTTGGGAAGAAAACAGCTTGAAAAGTTATCTGCCTGCTTATGAGAAACTGGAACAGATGTATTTCCCCTCTTAGGCACTGAATTCCTAACTATATTCAATTAACACACATTCAAAACATGTTTTTTTTAGTACTCAGTTGCTACGATATTACTATAATACTACTCTGGCACAAAATAAATACAGGTGGGTATTGCCCCAATTTGGGTTCCATGGGAAATTCCAAGGCAAATTGGAGCAAAGTCACTTTCATCACATGTTGATCATTCGTGGGAATTGTAGATCAGTTAGAGAGAGATTTCCTCCACCCACAAATTTCAGGTGTGGAAGAGGACATGTCCTCATAGCAAAAGAGGAATGGGTTACATTTCCCCAGCCCTCCTGCTAATTATTGGTTGCTCAGCTGATCCTATTTGCCTTCAATAAAACCTGCACATTAAATACAAAGGGCACATGGTCCTGAATTATACTCTGGCTCGAAGGTAAAAGTCGAGGCTGAGTTTGCATTTCCTAAAGGCTTCCAAATGAAGTGTTTATTTAAACTTTGATAAAAGTTGCAATTAAGATGAAAGACACTAAAACCTTGAGGAAAAGTCTTTGTGAAGGTAATGATGCTCTTTGTACAATCAACACAGTCATTATTCTGTCATCCTATGTGATTTTCCTTATGAGCTGTGTTTCATATAATACAATCTGTTCTGTCATCTCTAGGTCCCCAAACCTCCTGATTTGATAGCATCTGTACCCACCCACCTACTCACAGATTTTTTTGTGTGTGTCACGACCAACTTGAGAAACTGCAATTTGCTTTCGGTGTGAGAGAAGTGGTCATCTGTCCCTGCATGAGAAGCTGGAGCTGACAGATGGGAGCTCACCCTGCTCTCCAGATTCGAACCACTGACCTTTCGGTCAGCAGTCCATTGTGCCACTGGGGCCTCAACTAACAGATTATTCTGCAACTTTCCTGTACTGAACTTTTGAGACATACATCTATGGAATTTGCTGACACAAGACTACCTTTACTCAACTAAAAAGCAAAACAAGACTTTAACCGTTTCGCCAAACCATTTCCCCCCATGCAGAACACTGGTTTCTCTTGGTTTCTTTTATACAGGCATGGGACCATGCATTGCCAAAAGGAACTAAATGTTCAAAACTAGACTTTTATCACGACAATAATTTATGACAAATTAACAAATTTTAAATAATAATATTTTTTGTTGTTGCTTTGACTAATGGCAACCCTAGGAATGGGAGACCTCCATATGTTGATTTTTGTTTTTTAAAAAAAAGGACATTAATGATAACATGACCCACTTCGTCAAATGTTATGGGTTGCAGTTCATGAAAATACAATGCTATAAGAGTTTTACAGGTGTAAAACCTGAGTGCTAATTCTATCTGGAATAAAACAAATAGCAAAAATAGCGAAGTCCTGGAGCACTCCAAAAATTATGCCCTGCATCCCACCACTGTTCATCCCAACTAGACTTGGCCAATTGAATTAATAGGACATCTCTATAGATCCGCCATTGACTCAAATATATCAAATCTAGTTGGGATGATGGTTCTGGAGGAACGCCAGGATTCTATTATGTATATAGCAACAGACTAATACTGATACATTTGGGGGAGATACACCCACACACACACAACATCTATATCTCTATCTATATAAATAAAAATGTAATGTTCGTTTGTGGGATTAACATAACTCAAAACCCACTGGATAAATTGACACCAAATTTGGACACAATGTACATATCAGCCCAACGAGTGACCATCACTCATAAAAGCACTGGAAAACACAGCAGAAGAGACTTAAAAAGACAAAAAAATAAAAAATACATTATAATGTATTATCGAAGGCTTTCATGGCTGGAATCACTAGGTTCTTGTGGTTTTTTTCGGGCTATAGAGCCATGTTCTAGAGGCATTTCTCCTGACGTTTCGCCTGCATCTATGGCAAGCATCCTCAGAGGCAGTGAGGTCTGTAGACCTCACTGTAGACCTCACTACCTCTGAGGATGCTTGCCATAGATGCAGGCAAAACATCAGGAGAAATGCCTCTAGAACATGGCTCTATAGCCCGAAAAAACCCAAAAGAACCTAATACATTATAATGCATGCACAAAACCACATATATATACACGCAAACACACATATATACACACACAAAACACAAATACAAAGACTGGGTCACAGCAATGCATGGCAGGGGATGGCTAGTGTGTGTGTGTGTGTTCTTGACTTTTGAAGACAGGTTGCATTGACAGTCACTGTAAATTTAATGATTTATAACTATTTCTAAAACCCAGATATTCTGATTGCAGGGACATACAGACATGCAAAGATCTGCATATTCGGCTGAAAACGGCAATATTCCCACACCTGGAAATCTTGCATTTTCTGCCTGGAGGAACACCAGGTTTCTATTATTTGTATAGCAACAGAATAACACTGATACATTTGGGAGATACACACACACACACATTCCTGACTGCTTTTGAAGACTGAGGATGCATCAACAGTCACTGTAGATTTTCACACCACTTCGACTGCCATGGATCATCGCTATAGAATTAAGGGAGTTGTCGTTTTTACATTTTAGTCATCTCTGACCTAATGCTACAAATGATCAAATGACAAATTCCAGGAATCCATGGTATTGAAGCATGGAAGTTAAAAGTGGTGTCGAACTGCATTAAATCTACAGTGTAGATGCACTCTCAGCAGTGACAATATGATGAAAATATATATATGAAAAAACAAGCTGTAATCTCAGACTGGATCTACACTGCCATATAATGCAGTTTGAAATTTATTATATGATCAAGTAGGGACCCACATAATACAGTTCAATCAAACACACCAGGCATGAGCAAACTTTGGCCCTCTGGGTGTTTTGGACTTCAACTCCCACAATTTCTGGTCTCAGGCTCTTTTCTTTTCCCCCTCAGCCGCTTAAGCAGCTGAGGGGGAAAAGAAAAGAGCCTGAGACCAGAAATTGTGGGAGCTGAAGTCCAAAACACCCAGAGGGCCAAAGTTAGCCCATGCTCGGTCTACACAGACCATATAAGCCAGTTCCAGGCTGCATTATATGGCAATGCAAATTCAGTCTCAATGATGCTTTCCCAATCAGAGTATTACTTACAGAGGATATCCATGTTGTTTCCTTTAGAAGCCTCACTTGGAAGAAGCTTTTCTTCCGTCACGTATTGGAATCCAATTTTAAAAAAAGACAAACTCCTATATACACAGATTATGAATGACAATGGAGAATCCTATAATTCCATAATCACCTGTTTCTCCTCCTCTTTCATCTTCCATGCAAATTATGCATAGTCACAATCAAGGAAATGAGATCCGCCCCTAGATTTGGCTCTATTTCAAGTCTTATTTTTTGGCCAATAACTCCCATCAGCCCTGCTTAACATACACAACTATCGGATGATATGCATTACGTTCCAAATACTACTTGAAAGACACATTTCTCCACTCCGATGTTAACCCAAAATGCATGAAGTTTCTTAGTTTCCTAATGAGGAAAATATAACTACGTAACAGCTTTTAAAAATGCAAAAATAGAATAATAAGTGATGTAATAATAATATAATATGGTCCCAGTGGTGATTGGCACACTGGGTGCAGTGCCTTAAAACCTTGACCTGCACTTAACACAATTGGTGCTGACAAAGGCCACCTTACTGGGATTTGCACGCATTATTTGCCGATACATCACACAGTCCTAGACACTTGGGAAATGTCCGACGTGTGATCCAATACAACAGCCAGCAGAGTGATCTTGTCTGCTGTGGACTCATCTTGTTGTGTTTCTAATAATAATAATAATAATAATAATAATAATAATAATAATAATAATTCTTACCTGCCTCTCTTCATGATGTTGGTTACAACATTGCTAAAATACATAAGTAAAGGTAAAGGTTTTCCTCTGACATTAAGTCCAGTCGTGTCCGACTCTGGGGAGTGGTGCTCATCTCCATTTCTAAGCCAACGAGCCAGCGTTGTCCATAGACACCTCCAAGGTCATGTGGCTGGCTTACCTGCATGGAGCACAGTTACCTTCCCGCCGGAGCGATACCTTTTGATCCACTCACGTTTGCATGTTTTCAAACTGCTAGGTTGGCAGAAGCTGGGACTAACAGCAGGAGCTCTCCCTGCTCCCCGGATTTGAACCTGCAACCTTTTGGTAAACAAGTTCAGCAGCTCAGTGGTTTAACCCACTGTGCCACAGGGGGCTCCACAGTTGTGGGCGAAATGTCATGAGAGAATGCTCCTGGAACATGCAGTCCCATTTGGGAGAAAAGCAGAATAGAAACCAACTACATAAGGGAACAACTGTATTGTTAAAGGCTTTCATGGCTGGAATCACTGGGTCGCTGGAAGTTTTTCAGGCTGTATGGCCATGTTCCAGAAGCATTCTCTTCTGACGTTTCCCACATCTATGGCAGCCATCCTCAGAGGTTGTGAGGTCTTCTAAACAACTGTCACCTAGTGATGTGAAATGCAGGGGAGGGACACTATGACACCCAAGGCAAGATTGCTATCATCAGTAAAAACGCAAACTTCTGCGATCCTTGAACAGAAGGACGCTCTATTGTCTTTCCTTTCGAAGCGTGTCTGTCGAAATATGGATCTGATAGAAAAATAGAGGTGTGGAAATGGGCGCGGATGCTCTGCAGGTGAAATTCTTTTTTTCTTTATCGATCTGAGAAAGAAACGCCGCTGTGGGTGGTGACAGATGAGCCCTGTCACTGAGAAACATGACACATATTTGGAAAGGTTTTGATTGCGCAATTGCCTTGCCTTGTTCACAGCACAGGGCTCAAGTTATGCACCAGGATCCCCTTCGTAATCCTGCTGAGTTTCCTTATCATAATAATAATAACAATAATACTTTATTTATACCCTGCCACCATCTCCCCAAGGGGACTCGGGGCAGCTTAAATGAGGCCAAACCCAAAAGTACAACAAAGTAAATATACATCATAAAATACAAACAATAAAATATAATCAAAATAAAATAATAAAATAAATAAAATACAAAAAAAGTATAAACAAACACACCAACTATAAGGTCACAGTAATTGGGCAGGGAGAGTTGCAAAGATTAAAAGTTTAAAACACTTGGTAAGCAGGCCATGTAGTCTATCTAGACAGAGGATCAGAGGGACAAAAGTGAGGTTTCATTGCACTAGAAGATAAGGTAAAGTGCGTCCGAGGACATTTTATGCCGGGTTTGGTCAAGATCAGGGATTATTGTTAATTCATTGAAGGCACACTGGAATAGCCACGTTTCCAGACTCTTCCTAAAGACTGCCAGAGTGGGGCTTGCCCAATTCCAGCCAGTTCCAGAGCTGAGGGGCCACCATGGAGAAGGCTCTTACTTTTCCCCATGGAAATGTCAAGATGGAAAAGTCTTTGCAGTCAAGACATCAAAATGCTAGGGGTGCGTCTACAGCAGGCATGGGCAAACTTGGGCCCATTGTGGGAGTTGGAGTCCAAAACACCTGGAGGGCCCAAGTTTGCCCGTGCCTGATCTACAGTGTAGAATTAATGCAATTTCACACCACTTTAACTGTCCTGGCTCAATGCTATGGAATAATGGGAGCTGTACTTAGGTGAGGAACCATCAGAGAAGGCGGAAGACCTTTTAATACAATGGAGCAATTGATTCAAGCTGAAGGAAAAAGATATTCCACCTAAACATTAGGAAGAGCTGTTTGAAATTGGATATGAGTGAGATCTCATTTCTGGAGATTTTAAAGCAGAGGCTGGATGGCCATCTGTCAGGAATGCTTTGATTGTGTCTTCCTGCATGCCAGAATGGGGCTGGGCTGGATGCCCCATGGGGGTCTCTTCCAATTCTATGATGCTATGAAGATTTCCTTCCCCACTCCCAGGCCTGCTTATATGGTGCTTATAAGGAGATAGATAAACTTTATTTTCAAAGCAGAACGAAAGCAATGCCTTACCTTAATATTTTTTTCTTGTATTAATTTCGGCGACATTTCAGTCGCAGGAAGTAAGCAAAAGAAAAGACACAGTAATTAGCAAGTTTACAGTCTCATGTTAAGATAAAATGGGTGAGGATGGCACTAAGCATCACTTTTAGTGAGAACCATGAAGGGCATTCTCAATGAGAAGCCACTGAAATCCATAAGCATGTGGACAATTGCAACAGAAAGAAGGAAACCATGAAAATGAAAGAAATCCGGCTACCAGTATTAAAAAAAAAGCTCTAAAATTAGGGCAGTAAATAAAGAGTGGAATGTGTCCAGAGGAGGGCAACTAAAATGATCAAGGGTCTGGAGAACAAGCCCTACGAGCAGCGGCTTAGGGAACTGGGCATGTTTAGCCTGAAGAAGAGAAGGCTGAGAGGAGATATGATAGCCATGTATAAATATGTGAGAGGAAGTCACAGGGAGGAGGGAGCAAGCTTGTTTTCTGCTTCCTTGGAGACTAGGACGCGGAACAATGGCTTCAAACTACAAGAAAGGAGATTCCATCTGAACATGAGGAAGAACTTCCTGACTGTGAGAGCCGTTCAGCAGTGGAACTCTCTGCCCCGGAGTGTGGTGGAGGCTCCTTCCTTGGAAGCTTTTAAACAGAGGCTGGATGGCCATCTGTCAGGTGTGATTTGAATGCAATATTCCTGCTTCTTGGCAGGGGGTTGAACTGGATGGCCCATGAGGTCTCTTCCAACTCTTTGATTCTATGATTCTATGATTCTATGTTCAATGACAGGCTGAGCTTCTCGTATGCTTCTTTGAAGGTGTTTAGAGTGGCTTGTAGGACTTCTTCTGAGTGTGCACAGACAATGTTGTCATCAGCATATTGGAGTTCTATAACAGATGGGTTGTTGTAGGTTTTTTCGGGCTATATTTATTTATTTATTTATTTAGAACTTCTCACCTCCGCAGAGGGACTCGGGCCGGTTCACAACAACAATAACACAGACAATCATTCATAAACATCACATCCCATAATACACTAAAACATTAAAATACTAAAATACAGTCATATAATTACATTGGCCAAGTCGTCAAAGTAAAATCGTAGTTCATCACCATCCGTCCATGTAGTTGCGAGTTATTGACTCACTCGTCAAATGCCAGTTTCCAGAGCCAGGTTTTCACCTGTTTTCTAAAGTCAGGAGAGAAGGGCAGTTCAATCTCCAGCTGCTCCAAACTTAACAGGGAAAAAAAATCATAAATGGTAAGGCAAGAGGCCACCACGAAGAACATAAATGTGTGCTCAGCTTCCACTGTGTGTTAACCATAAAATCATACTTGAGGAACTACAGAAGTCTAGGGCAGTGGTTCTCAACCTGGGGTCCCCAGATGTTTTTGGCCTACAACTCCCATAAATCCCAGCTGGTATACTGGCTGGGATTTCTGGGAGTTGTAGGCCAAAAACATCTGGGGACCCCAGGTTGAGAAGCCCTGGTCTAGAGGCATTCTCTCCTGACGTTTCGCCTGCATCTATGGCAAGCATCCTCAGAGGTAGTGAGGTCTGTTGGAACTAGGAAAAAGGGTTTATATATCTGTGGAAGGACCAGGGTGGACAAAGGACTCTTGTCTGCTGGAGCTAGGTGTGAATGTTTCAACTGACCACCTTGATTAGCATTTGATGGCCTGGAATTCCATGTTTAGTTCTCAAACCAAAATTCTGTTTTCTCGCTTAATGCTATAGCATCCATGCCTTTTTACTTCCTTCTGCGAGGAGATTTCCACTCCCGTGAGAAGCTTCCCATCCAAACCCAAGTAATGAAGGTGGAGGCATTACTTTTCATTCAACCCTCATAGATGCATGCCTGATTTGTGCTGATTCCACCACACAGCCAAAAGATTTAGAAGTCTTGGAAGTTTATGGAGAGGGCCCTTCCACACAGCCAATGCAGAACATCCCATAATATTTGCTTTGAACTGAGTTATCTGAGTCCACACTGCTATATATTCCACTTCAAAGCAGATTATGTGTGATTTCATTCTGCTGTGTGGAAGAGAGAAAGTTTGCTTTCCATGATAACTACAAAGAGAGAGAAGTAAACATAATTTTAAAAGTTTTTTTTTCTTTAAAAAAAAAAAAAGAAAAAAAAGGGATGTGTCAGAAGTGGGATTTGAACCCACGCCTCCATTCGGAGACCAGAACACCCAGAGCTGGGAAGGGAAGAAGCCTTGAGTCTGGCGCCTTAGACCACTCGGCCATCC